TAAGAATTCGCAGTTCTAAAACATTTTTTATTTTTTTATTTTCCTTCGTAATTTCAAACAGATTTTATTTCAATGGTTACGAAGAACGAAGAAGAATGTTTTTCTACACAGAGCAAAAATGTCGAACTCTCTCAAAACATTCCAACAACTTCGTAAGAATTCGAGATTTTGTAATGCCGAATAAACGCAACGAGATCTCCTCAGCTTACCCTTTGCTAAATTCCAGATTCTTGTTGTCCGTTTTTTTTTTTGCTATTTAAATAATCTTTCCGAATATAAATTTACACAAAAATATTAAGTTACATTTTAGTAAGTTGAAATACGCGCTCGATTTCATGACAAGTGAATGTGTTGTGAATTTGTGTTGTTCATATATATTTTAAAAGACACTACATATTTTAGTGTTCTCGGATTAATTTACATTTTACTAATTGTTACCTGCGGCTTGATCTGCGTGCTCAAGGTAAAGGGTTCATAATATTTCTAAAGATAATGATAATTATATAAAGTATCCTATAGCATGGTCTAAAATGGCTTAAAACTATGACTTCAAAAATCATGTCAATCCGTTATTTCGTTTTCACGTAAAAGAAGAATATATACTCGTAAATACACTCAAACATAATTACGATATAATATAATAGTGTAGATTCGTATAAACATAGATTAGTTAAATTAAAAAAAAAACTTATTTTTTTGCAAATGTTTTTTTCTATATACATAAGTAGTTATCGCTCATTAAGATTTTTTTATCGCATAGATGAGTGAACAATTTCACGGCTCACCTGGTATCATACTTTCATTTACTACATTTGAACAACCCCTAGCAGGGTTAAGGCCAGTGTGGAACTTGAAAAAGGTTTTGAATAGCTTTGTAAATTACATTAAAATATAGCTCGACCCATGATTTCTTATCAGGTTTCCGGATTCCATGTTCAAACACCCGAATGCAGAGTATTTTGTTTTACATAGCGCATAGCATTTCGTGATCTGTCTGGACGGAAACGTTAACCAAAAAATTAAGTTTCAGATTATGGAGACGGTATTTAACGGTAGGCAGCGGCTTGACTCTACCCGTGGCATTGGTGACGTCAATGGGCAACGGTAACCACTCACCATCGGGTGTGCTCGTCTGCGAACTAGACAAGGACAATAATTTTTTTTAGCAGCGATTAATGTTCCAATGTCAAAAACTTTTAGAGTCGTCGTGGCCCAAAGGATAAGACGTCCGGTGCATTCGTATGTAGCGATGCACCAATGTTCGAATCCCGCTGGCAAATATCAATTTTTCTAATGAAATACAAATGTACACGATTGACTTTCACGGTGAAGGAATAGGAATAGCATCGTGTAGTAAAAATCAAACCCGCAAAATTATAATTTGCGTAATTACTGGTGGTAGGACGACCTGTGCGTCCGCACGGGTAGGTACCACCACCCTGCCTACTTCAACCGTGAAGCAATAACGCGTTTCGGTTTGAAGGGTGGGGTAGCCGTTGTAACTATACTGAGGCCTTAGAACTCATATCTCAAGGTGGGTGACGGCATTTGCGTTGTAGATGTCTATGGGCTCCGGTAACCACTTAACATCAGGTTGACCGTGAGCTCGTCCAACCATCTAAGCAATAAATAAAAAACCGCGACATGGGAAAATGCGTTTGGCGTACGAGGTCAACGTATGAGGAGCAGATCGTTCTTCATGCGTCAAACCGTCTGTAATATCATTGTGAACGAAAACCTCATAAAACACTGAATCAGAACACTTCAGTTATTATTGGAACCTCTCAATGCTCGTAGAACGAACGTCCTACAATAGCACGATCTTATTTTAGTCCGACTGACTCAAGCATGTTCGCACCTTTACTTGTTCAGAGATTATTCGCATACCGAATTTAAATGCACACCGGAAATTTTAGTATCAAAATAATTTCAGGTGAGTATGCGGCGTTAGTCTGTTGCGGTGCAAGTTTGCGGAAAGACTATAATGTTGCGAACATACACAATCTAGCTGCTAGGTGGTTTTGCTTTTATTTTGTTGTAAAATTATGTATGGCTATACAGGATTAAGTAATACTAAGTATCGTGTTCATATATTTAAAACGTTATGAATCACTTTAAAATACACATAAATGAGATCTGTTTTTACAGTTTTAGGCTTAATCTCAACTAATCCGGTCTGTAGATTTGGCAACGGAGTTAGGTTTCCCGTGTTTTGCCTCAACTGTTACTAGTTTGCGTCACGTGCAATTAACTAACTATTAACTGGAACGTACAGTTATAGATCGTAATATTAGTTTTATGTCGCTATATTCTTTTATAATGATCACCGTACAATACCACGTAGTCATGTTTAAAATCGGATTCGACGTGCGTCACTATTTGTTTCTGGGATACGAAGATAATAAACATGACCACATCCGTAATATCAAGTACGATGTTTCAGTCGCACGTTTTTTTCTATTTCAATATATTAAAGGTGCGATGCGTGAAAATAGGTTAGATTGAAATAAAATTTGACTTTAATAAAAAAAGGTTTGGAAAACGATGCTCCACACATCCGCATTAATAATGCTCAGAAAAAACAATTAAAACCGAATTATGAACAATATTAATGAATCAAAATATATATTAATTAGCATTTGTATAAATTAATACAATGCTAAAACTAAACTGGCAACGCTGTGCTTGAAGCTGACTATCAGTGAAGGAGATATTACTAAGACTAAACCTTAACCAAATTATAACGCATTTATGACAACGTAAATAATATGTAATGACACATCAGAGAATCATTGAAATCAATTGCCTAAATAATTAGTTTATTAGCTGTAATAAAACAGATGAAAATGCTTATAAATCTAAAATACTAATGTAACGAAACACGATTCTATTCTGAATTTGCTGTAATAGATTATAGCTCAAACTAGTATAAACAGCTGCATTGGAGTTTAACCACGGCGTGAATACCACCGCCTACTTTCAAACATGTAGCTGATGCCATGAATTACAGTAGAAATTTGTATACTATTAAGTCTTCATTTTAAAGTATCATAGTTAATTGGCCAATATACTTAAGCAAATACAAAATCACTTAAGCTACCTCGTCGACCCTTCAAACAGCCCTGCCACCAGCTTTTTCACTGGTGGTAGGACCTCTTGTGAGTCTGCACGGGTAGGTACCACCACCCCGCCTATTTCTGCCGTGAAGCAGTAATGCATTTCGGTTTGAAGAGTGGGGCAGCCGTTGTAACTATACTGAGACCTTAGAACTGATATCTCAAGATGGGTGGCGCATTTATGTTGTAGATGTCTATGTGGGCTGTGAGCTCGTCCACCCATCTAAGCAATAAAAATATATAGTAGGTACTTTATAAAAGTCTATCTATCTACGTCATCGTCGCTTCAGTATTTCAGATTATAGGTCTTATGTATTGGATAAGAATCCTCCATCAACAAAAAAGTAAAAGATGTGTTATTAATTTATTATAGCAAATATTATCAAAGACTAGTATCACAATATATAAGATTATTAGGCAATATAGTCTGCATTAAATGTTTCTAATTAAGCGCCTTGCAAATAACGTAATCGGATTACTGTCTCCTCTCTTACATCATTCCCTGCCTTTAAAGTACCTATATCGGAATTAGAATATTTAATAACTAATGGTTAATTTGTGAAACTTGGGGGAATGTAATAGATTTTTTTTTTTTTAAATAAATTAATCTATTTCTTCCTATCACGAACCAATTCGGTTTTCCAGTTAGAAAGGTATATAATTAAGAGTAAATATTCAGTTTTTTGTTTCAAAGTAGGCCGCTGAAACCCCGTTTTATCGGTCCTAAGCTCCGGTACTCACTTAACAACATATGAGCAGTGAACTTTTTTATCCATCTATCCAAGAAAAATGCAGGATAGTGGTTCCCGTTCACAATATACCCCGGATACCCGTAATGTGAAGGACATTTATGTACGTATTTCGCAAAATATTTACTGTCGGGTAAACTAATATACATATTCCACTCTCTAAACTGGATTGCTGTGACGTAAACTCCTGTAATTTAAGTTTAAAATGATAACGGTAAAATGTTTTTCCCGTCGATACTTCTAGGTTGCTTCTAAAAAAGATTGCAATGTACTAATATTTAACGAGCTAAATTGAAATTAATATTGTTCCGTTGTATCAATCTACAGCGACAATCAATTAATTTCGTTGGCCATTTTTCGTAAAACCTATTTAAATCATTGACTTATTCTAGGCGCAATTCTGACAATAGTCGTTTTAAAAGAAAAACCGAAAGGAAACAATGAGTCAGAACCGACATTAATCTAATGGGAAAAGGAAAATTTTAATGTTCTTGAAACGTTTTATCCTCTACATTTCGCGATTATTCTGACAATTTATAATATTGATTTTAAAAAGTTTGGTAACGTTTAAAATTGTGAATGAATTTACATGTCTCTTACCAATTGAATTAGCGTAGAATTCTGAATGCTTAGTTGAATCAAATTAGCGGCCGAATCTGTATTTAACATATTTGTAAATACCTACTTATTTAGTATTAATTTTTTATTACATATCTAAAATATTGTTTCATTCCTATTTCGTAATGAATTCGTGGTCTTTTTCTAACTTTTTCTTTAATAAAATGGGAACATAAACCGAATACTAATACGAAATACCAATGAAATTATAAAATGACATCACAAACACTTGACATTCCACTACTTTCTAGTCATGCAGAATGGGGGTTGCGAACGTGCGTAGCGTGTGTGGTACCTCTAGGGCTCATTTAAGAAATGTTTGGAATTATTTATGTCTCGAGGTTCCATTTTGCAACAAGCTTTCATTTTCAATAGTGAAGTTGTTATTTGTATTTTGGCACATGATACTGACTGACTAACACAAAATACAAAATTTTGTTGAAATGAAAACTTGCGCTATTGCTACAATGAGCCCTACCGTTCAATCATTGTGTATACTGTTAATTATGCTATGTACCGCTTGTAGTGGCGGTGGGTAACAGATGTGAAGACTCGGCGACGTTCGCAGCCCCACGCACTCAGGGTCGGAGACAGTCGCATGCGAAGCAGGAGGGGCGACGGTGGGGCAACATGAACGGGGCTCACTGAGAGGATGGTGCGGCGGCACGGAGAACGTGTAGTACTTGGCCGTTTGGTTGTGCGCGCGAAGCACAGAGCTGTGGGTAAGTGTCACCACCACCACGAGGACTGATGCCAGGGCTAGCGCGAAGAAGGAGGCGGCGACGGCGGCGACCACGCGTCGTCTTCGAGCTTCTTTTCCGGCGTCCTCGGGTGGCACCTCGGGCTCCGGCGGTGGAGGCGGCGGAGGCTCAGGAGATCGGCTGCGAACGCTGGGACCCCGGCTATTGGGTAGCTCGAGCGTGTGCCGACGAGAGCGGCGCGCGCGCTCGCACTCTGCCGCTGAAGAATGGTGGCGGCGCAGGCGGTGAGGCGCCCCAGGAGCTACGCGACATGAAGCAGAACGTAGCGTGCGCACTGGCACCATCAAATCATCGCTTGAAACTCGCGGTACACGTGCCGAGTGAACCGAGCGAAATGAATGATCCCTTGTCGAGCCACTCGGAAAAGCGAGATCGACAGAAGCGCGGGAAGAGTGTCTCGAAAACCTGTCACGGTCTCGATGATCTACACGCACCGACATCGTGCGGGCGAAGCGCGCGGCGGCGGCCGCCCGAGTGACGCGTGTGTCCCTCCCCGCTTGGTTTTGCCGCGCCGCACCGTTCACCCGTGTTTACACTCGTTCCTGATCGCACAAAGAATGCTTGCAAATATTCGTTCAAATCACAAGTTGATGTTAACGTCACGTCTCACTCAAATGTCGTTGATTCAGTATTTGCGCGATTAAGGGATGTTTGGACTTCCCTTCTAACGTCTGACTCCGCTAAAAATGTTTACAAGCCCGCTGGAATTGGCATAGCTTTTCAAAACGTAGAATCCGTACAATTGTCAGTTTTTCAGGTTCAGATGCAACTGTAACATACATAAGTTGTCTAAAACTAAAAAGAAGAATAAATCAGCTAATATTAGCCTTCACTCGTGCCTTCACTGAAATATTCATTGAAAGCTAATATCGGGTATTATTTTACGATGAAAAAGCGTAACGTTTACAGTATTCCTGTCCGCATAGGCTGAGCGCTAAATAGAGCGAACGCTCTTTGTTGTGGAGACCATGTTGTCAAGTTAAATTGTCTCGGAGGCGGGAAACGAAACAGATAGTAGAGAAGTTGTCGTGGGGCCGGTACATCGACACTATTCAATAGCTACAGAATACGGCCGCGTACCAATATTAACCATTCCAAATATAGTATAGATGCAGTCGTAATATCCGATTATACTGTACTACATTGTAACTATACTGAGACCTTAGAACTTATATCACATGGTGGGTGGCGAATTTACGATGTAGATGTTTATGTGCTCCAGTAACCACTTAACACCAAGTGAGCTGTGAGCTCGTCCACCCATCCACGCAATAAAAAATATAAAAAATACCCGCATTACAATTCAATTATATTTTTTATGACACAATCATATTATGAATTGATAGAAAATTGTGTATTAGACAATTGTATTTTAAAAGCTTTAAACAAGCACAACGTAAACAGCCTAGCCGACGCCGCTCCGCCAATCCTCCCTTACGGCCCGGATTCGAATCTATCCCCCGGGGACACCGTCGAATCCATAAACATCATTACCGATCACATCTCTTCCGCGATCATTAGATCTTCAAAAGAAGTCGATGTGGAGGACAGCTTCCACCGCATCAGACTGTCCCCCGATCTTAGGAATCTCTTAAGAGTTAGGAACGCGGCAATCCGGGCCTACGATCGTCTTCCCACGCATGCAAACCGGATTCAGATGCGTCGTCTACAACNTTAGTAAGTATCTACAGTCGGCATCGCTGCGCCATTTTGAGAAGGCGGCACGACATGAGAACCCTCTCATCGTAGCCGCTGGAAATTACATACCCGACCCAGTAGACCGAATGGTAAACCGTCGACGTCGCCCAAAGCACGTCATTACGGATCCTCCTGATCCATTAACGGTGCTTTTAGGCACCACAAGCATCGGTCACCGTCCTCGTCGAACCCGTCGCTTGCGACGAAGGGCTCGACGAGCGAACTAACTCATAGACACAGCCCACTGAGTTTCTCGCCGGATCTTCTCAGTGGGTCGCGTTTCCGATCCGGTGGTAGATTCTGCGAAGCACTGCTTTTGCTAGGGTCAGTGTTAGCAACTCTCCGGTTGAGCCCCGCGAGCTCACCTACTAACGTTAGGGCGAAGCTGAAATAGCCTCTCAAGGCTATCAGCATAGGTAGGGAAAAAAAAAAAAAAAAAAAAAAAAAAAAACGTAAACAACGACTTTTTGGAATAGAAGTTTTTTTATGTGATTTTATGACCTGGTAACTAAGACCTTTAGGTCAAGTCTTATTTTAAATTTAATGAAAACTTTTTTATATGAAAAATGATACTATGAAATTAAACGAAGTTGATTAATATGAAACATGGCATGAAATGAAATGAAAATGAAATGAAATGTAATGAGATGAGATGATATGGGATAAAATATAATCTTAATAAGAGATTTTTTCAGTTCAGGCTTTGTTTTATTTTTCCAGATTTGTGCACTTTCACAGATATTAAGTAGTTTATAAACCACCATTATTACACATTTAATCCTGAAGAAACACTAAATAGGCAAAATAAAACAAATCACACAACTTCATTACTCGCGTTCCCGCCAAAAAGTCTTGAATAGAAGAAACTCGAATGTTAAATAGATACTACGGGTACTAAGCCATGTTTCATGAATATTTTGTCATGAAAGTTTTCACCATTGCCCCTTTGTCTCAGGCCGCGGGTTGCGATTGAAGTGCGACTGACACATACAATAGTCGTCTCACAATGTTGGCGACGCAACGCTACGTCGGACATCCCTTAGATAAGATCCTGACATCTCGACTTCAATGTTTGACGGACGGAGAACGGTATTCACATCGATGAAAATATATTTTCTTTTTCAAAAACACACTTGTAAAATTTAAAACGGCGAATGTAAAAAATTACATTATGTAGATAAAGTTTATAATACATGATTGTACATATTATGGCCGCATTATTTTGTAACAAATAGATACGATAAATAGTTTGATAACTATCGCCACTCATTAAGCAACATCAGATCGGAAACAGATTACTTTATAATACAATACTGCATGCCTCTCAAATTGAAGCACAGAACTGGGTTGTCTCAAAAAATTACGATGCTACCAACCGTGACAGCCTTAGTGTACTTAGTCTGGCCATAAATACTGTTACAATTAAAAATAAACAAAATATTACATTTGAATTTGGAATCTGTTATTTTTATATGATTGCTCATTGAGTTTTCTCATTTTGGCGCCAATACATTGTACAATATTTTGCGATATTAAAATGGAGTGGGGTGATAATGAGAACCGAATCGCTGTGTATGCATTACACAAAGTAGGTATGGAGCCAAATGCAATTTTTAAAACTCTCCATACGCTTGGTATTAGTAAAATGTTTGTGTACCGGGTATATTAATAGGTGCAATGAGACCTCCTCTGTTTGTGACAGAAAAAGATCTGGCCGTCCACGTAGTGTTCATACGAAAAAGGTGGTCATGGCAGTAAGGGAAAGAATTCGAAGAAATCCTGTCCGAAAGCAAAAGATTTTATCTCGGGAGATGAAGATAGCATCTAGAACCATGTCGCGTATTTTAAAAGATGACTTAGGACTTGCAGCCTATAAGAGACGTACTGGTCATTTCTTAACTGATAATTTAAAAGAGAATAGGGTGGTAAAATCGAAACAACTATTGAAGCGGTCCCGATCTTAATCCGCTGGATTATGATTTATGGTCAGTTCTAGAGATTACGGCTTGCTCTAAACGCCATGATAATTTGGAGTCCCTAAAACAATCCGTACGATTGGCAGTGAAAAATTTTCCCATGGAAAGAGTGCGTGCTTCTATTGATAACTGACCTCAACGTTTAAAGGAATGTATTGTAGCCAATGGAGACCACTTCGAATAAGCTTTTTATACTTTAAATTGTTTTATATTTATGTATTAAACTAACACACTGTAAAAGTAATAAATTTTATTTGCAATAGATTTTTTTTTTAATTGTAACAGTATTTATGGCCAGACTAAGTATATTCTGACCACGGGTCCACCGGGCGTTCTATTCTTTAGACTACGAGTCCAAATGATTACTTGCCAAGGTAACCCATATTAATTATGAAATTAGCTGAGCTTGTATTTTATTAATCAGGATCGGCCAGCTGATGTTTTATAATTTACTACCGGCCTAACTATTTACCGACCTCCTTAAAATATGACTATTTTTGCGTCATTCTCCATAGTATTCCGATTTATATTTCTACTAAACCTTTCGATTCCGATCTTAAGTGGCTTTCATAAATAGGTAGGCTGAGTCAGTAGCATTATCTAGAAATTCTCGTAACTGCTCAACACCAGGTAAGCTTGGAACCGTATACCAATTTTGGGTAGTAGAAATCGGTGTACCAGTGCCAATTGGGTTGAGCTATTTATCCTCTTGAGCTATTTGCATATTAATTGCAATAAGGCATTTTCAAGAGTACAGTTCCTTATTATTTTATGTAGGCCATGATTTTGGTATACAAGATCTATAATAAACGTGAAATTAAAATGTAACGATCGCTTTAATCATGCCTACGATTTCCGAAAACGTGCTAAATTATGGGCTCAACACTGACGAATTCATTCAAGGAGCTAATAATTGATATCCCAAAATCTAGTGTTGACGCCGTAATGTGTGCTGGCGCCTCAACTCATGAATAATGCACGACGACCTTCCTAGTGAAATCTTGAAGACGCCCACGCTACCCAGGGACGAAATTAAAGCAAAAAGAAGTAACAATTACTAGGCTAAAAACTCAAAATGTCACAATATATGTAAAGAAAAGTCTTTATCATTTTAAAACCTTTAAAACTCTTTAGCCTAAAAAAAACTTAGACAGAATCGCTGACTTGTCTGTCATTCAATGAAGAGAGTAATTCAGTTTTGCATAATATAATAAAACTGTATAAAATATTAATTTTATAAAATAAAATTAATATTTTATACAAAAGAAGGGCTTTAAATGTTATCTTCTTATTACTATGTACAGAAAACGAATTTAAGTATTTTATTATTAATTCATTCTGGAGTATTCCATATTACCTATGCATTATAAGCAATAAGTGATCTTTTCTTTGTTGTGTTACACATGGAGTTACGAGTATTTTCAAGGTTCTGGACTAGAAATATCTAAGCATCAACATAGATGACGAATACATAATTCAGCTTGTGTTTTGCCGGCCACATAGTATTTATAGCGGAGAAGGCCCTCGATATCAGAACAAACCTGAATAGCCTCTGTTCGAGTAGGACTTAGTATGAAAATGAACAAGACGAAGGTCACGGCATAGTGCCCAATGTGATAAAATCAGAAACTCTAAGCTTAAAGTTGTTAATACTAACTGTCCAAGCAGGTAGATTCAATTGCCAAACCCAATTCCGTTCGTCAGGATTCTGGAGACTGCGAAAAATCGATTTTTTTTCCTTGAGATCTCGTTCCCTACAAAATGCTTAACGCGGCGGCACGCGAGCATATAGCATGGCCGAAGCGACTCA